GTCTTCTCGTGAAACTGTGTTGGTTTGGCTAGGGCCCCCATATGGAAGAGCCAGACTGCGTGGTTTACACTCAGACGTTTGTTTTCTCACAGGTTTTCTTGTTTGATTTTTGTTTTGTTTTGAGATAGGGTCTTACTAAATAACCATAGAAAATGTTATCACCTCCGGCCTTAAAAAGCTTGCTCCTCCATACTCTTGAGTATTTATGAGCAGGAGCAGGGGTAATGACTTCTGGGTCCTTTCTCTTTGCTGTCTGTAACTCTTCTGTAACTGGCTGGATTTCCTCCTATAAATAGACTAGGTTAGGATCCATGTCTTTTAAGACCTGATTTCCAAAGGTCCTGTAAGGCAGGATTTTATGCATTTGGGAAGAACAAACTCCTGCCTTTAACAGACCGTGGATCCACGGGGATATATGGAGCAAGCAGTTCCTCACTTGGGCAGTTTTGAGTAATTGACAAGCATAGCATTTTAACGCTGTGTCTCTGTAGCTCTGAGGGGGAGTGAGGCAGGGTTTCACTATGTGGCCTGGGATGGCCTAGAACTTGCTCTGCAGGCCACTCCACTTGTGGAGATCTGAGGGCTATGGAGTGTCTAAAGTGGATTCTTACGGGAATCCACTGCCTCTCTCTCCCAAGTGCTGGGGTTAAAAGTATGTGCCACCTGGACCTGGCCCTTCTATAGATTTCGTTTTTATCACATACCTTCCCTGTTTAAATCAGATGATACTATTATTTAAGATCCTCTTAAACTGTTTATTATGTTACCGTGTTTTTGTAATGAAACCATGAGAAAATTGAGTACTGTTTTTTTCTGAGACAGGATTTCTCTGTGTAGCTCTAGCTGGCCTCAAACTCAGATTTGCCTGCCTTTGTCTCCTGTGTGCCAGGATTAAATGTGCACTACCACTGCCTGGCTGAAATCAGGACTTTAGTAACTTTTGATAAATCTGTATTCTTTTTTATGGGGAACTCGATTGTCAGGGTGTTTAAAAGTATATGTTGAATAAGACGCATGGTGTTTGGAAGATACAGAGAATTGGATTAAATCTTTATTAAAGGGAAATTACTGAAATGTAGAACATATAGGGGGCGCAGGTGATGTCAGTCGTTGTCTTTTAGAGAAAGTAGAACGTGAGAGCTGGCAGGTGGAGACCCTTGTGCCAAATAAGTGTGCCCGTGCTTTGCTACCATTTGAAAGAGCAGAAACCCGAGTCCTTGTCTGGTGTGTCAGATCCTTGCTGCCTGCTGTGACGTGGGCATAAAGTTTGTGGGAGAATGGATGGTGGATGACTTAAATACATGAACTTTCTAATTTAGGTGAGGTTACAGAGTCATGCTGCTTTCATTTCTTGGGCTCACTAAACTTTTCTGGTTCTCAAGTTATGTTAATGAAACATACTTCTTGTTCGAACAAATAACTCATGGTTGACTTGTCTAGAGTGTTAAGATGGTACTCCAGAGAAACAGTCCAGCACGGCCTGTATGCTTGTGGGTTTACACATTTACATACAGACACCAAGATTTACCAATGACTTGGGCTAAGTCTCACTGCGTGGCATCTAAAAAGTGTAGAATTGCTCTATTTTACTTTCTGTTGCTGTGATTGAACACCATGATCAAAAGCAACTAGAGGAGGAACAGGTTTATTTAGCTTACAGGTCCACGGTGAGACCAAGGAGGAATGCTGCTTCCTGGTGTGCTTCTTTTGACTTGCTTAGCTATGTTGTATAACCCAAGACCACCTGCCCAAAGGATGGCACTGCCCATGGTGGGCTGGGCCCTCCTCCATCAACTAGCAATTAGTAATGGCCTATATACATGCCCGCAGGTTCCCTGTTCTCAAGTGTGTCAAGGTAACTGAAGCTGGCACTAAGAAACCTGGTGTTATAATTTATTCCAGATCTGGACATCTGGATGCCGTAGTCTGTTCCCCTATACAGAAGCCTGGGGGAGATGGGGTTCTCTGGTATGAGTCCCAGAGATGGAAGTCTAGGACTTCCAATTTACTGTCTGTGGGAAAAGATGGGTGTCCTCAGCTCAAGAAGAGTGGACATGTGTCCTTGTGACCTTTTGTTGTGTTTGAGCCTTCTTTGCCTTGGGTGACCTCTCTTTACATTGTGGAGAGTAGATGACGGTTACCCCAGTTTCTGCCAACACAGCCTCTCAGAGCACCGGCTGTCTGGACCTCCTTTAGCCCTGTTGTGTAGACATGAGCCAATAACAGAGTGAGGGGCCGCAGCAGGCTTCAGAGGGCACTGAGGAGCCTGTCTCCTGTTCTCTTGACAGAAGTAAGTGGGGTCCCAATAGGAGAAGGAGCAGTGCAGTTTACTGTATTCCTGCATTTTAGGGAGCACGGTTCTGGGCCTTTGTTGCAAGGTCTCGCTGATGTCGATTGTTCATGTGCGGTGCTCTGTGGGTCACCAATGCTGTGGCTGCTGCTTAGGCTCTGACCCCGCCTTCTCTCTGAAGTGTCACGCCTTCCTCTGTGCTGATTGTATGTATGCAAGACCAAAGTGAACACACCTCTTCCTCATTGTTTCCTTCCTTGAGGCTGAGGTGATAGTAATTTTGTTAAAAGCCTTCGTTTGAAATAATCAGCCATCACTTTGGATTCCATTCTCTCCTTTGCAGAATGAATGATTCGGATCTTGTTAAAGTGTTAATCACCTACAATGTCCTGGCACTTTCTTGTGTCTTTAAATCTGTTTTTGGCTTCTTTAAAATTCACACTCTGCTTAAGTTAAGCCAGGACATGTTCTGTGTTTCAACTGGCAATATTTAGGGTTTACTGGAGGGAAGGCTATTCATTTTTTTTTTTTTGTAATATCTCTTAACTGTGCGAGTATTCTACCAAACACACAAATGTGGACACACAACCTTACCCAAGAGTCGGGGTCATCTGTCCCTAGTAATGTAAGCTGCTTGCTTGCTGCGTAGTTGCCATGAGACTGCTTTGCTTCCATTGTGTTACCCCCTTCCTTGTCTAGGAAACAGGAGGCTCAGTAAAGAATGAACACGGTGTGTTGTTGACTTATTTTGTTCTTAGAGTATGGTAATGGGCTGTGTTCTTTGCAGTTTGGTGTAGCTGAGCCCAGGAAGAAGGCGTATGCAGATTTCTACAGGGATTATGACTCCATGAAGGACTTCGAAGAGATGAAGGCGGCTGGAATCTTCCAGAGTACAAAGTGACTTCAGAATGTACAGGTGACAGTTACTTGAAGTTCTATCAAAGTAGGAATAGTCTTAACCATTTTTAGTTGTCAGTTCAGTGGTGGCTCACACAGCTGCCATTGTGTGTGAAATGCCCCCCCCCCCTTTCTCCCAGACCTTGACAGTTAACTTTTTATGAGTATGACTGAATTTCTATGGAGCTGGTTCTCCCTGTTTGCCTTATTCTATGGGTGTGTGCGTGTGCGTAAGTCAGAACAGCTCTGGAGTGGCTTCTCCTCTTCCTGGTATATGCTTCCAGGGATCAAACACCCACATTAAGTGCCTTAGCCCTCTGTGCACCCTGCTGGCCCTGTTGGTCACTCTGCGATTGTCTTGTCTCGGATAGCAAACTGTTCTGCGTGCTGCGCTGTGTGTTGTTACTAGGAATTGAACCTGGAGCATTGTGCATTGTGCACTTGGTGAGCATTTTATCACCAGCTTTCTGGCTATATCCTATCCTTTATATATACATATACATGCACACATTTATATAATACACACAATAATAGACACACGATATATAACAATATATCATGTTATATATGTATATATATGATACACACACATATCATAACATACATACATACATATTTCAAAATGTTTTCTTGAGAAATGGCCAAATCAAGTTGTGACACTTGGCTGTGAACTGTTTCCTGAATAGCTAGGATTACAGGTGTGTGCCACCTGTAATTGTTAACTAATTCTGTTCATCTTTTTGTTGGTAGTAACTACTGTTTTCCTTAGTAGGCGCAGTATTTTACACTTCTGCATTGCTCAGGGGCTTCACTCTCTCCATGTTGACAGCACTTCTTCACTTTGTTTTCTTGTCATAGTGGCTGTCTTAGATGTCTTCAGTAGGGTTGACATACATTATGGTGGTCTTGATTTGTTTCCCTAATGATTTGTAGTTTTGCGTGTTGCATGTACTTACTGGCCATTTGTATATATTCTGGGCATATTGGGGGATTTTTTTCCCTCTTTGTGTTTATGTATTCACTGTGTTTGCTTGTGTGTGGGTATGTGGAGGTCCCAGGTTAACATGGAGAGAGTGCTGCTGAGGCCAGTCTGGGGATTGGAATTGCAGGTGAGCTGCTGTGTCTAATTTGGCATTTGTAGAGATTCTAGGAACAAACTCTGGATTTTGATTTGGTATTTTTGTACCTTAGCCACTTGACCAGCTCTCCATCCTGGGGATTCTTTTATTCAATCTTGCTGACTACTTTTTAATCTTACTTTAAATGAGCTGTTCCCTATATTTGTCACTTGTTTTGTTTTTCTGAGACAGTTTCGCTATTTGACTGTGTACTACTATCAATGGCCTGGCCACATCTATTAATTTTTACGTGTCGATTCACCCTTGCATTCCAGAAATTAATCTCTTGGGCTTCATATATGATCAGTTCTTTTAATGGGAAGTTGGCTTGTCTTGTTAGTATTGAGGGTTTTTGCATTGCTGTTTGGGATTGTACTTGAATTCTTTTGTGTGTGTCTAGTTTAGGTATCAGGGCAGTGCTGAACTTAGAATCAATATGGAAGTTTTATTCCCTTGTTTGTTTTGGAAGAACTTGAGAAGCATTGGCGTTAATTCTTTCAACTTTTTGTGAAATTCATCTGGTCCTCAACTTTGCTTTGTGAAGTTTCTGGTTCAGTCTCACTAATTTTAGTAACTTTAGTCTGCTGTCTAGACTAGTGTCTGTTGCTTCGTGAGTTCATGTTGGCAAGTCTTACCAGTCTTCATCTAAGTTACAAGTTCACTTTTTGTTCTTCTCTTTTCTCTTGCCATTTTAACTTAAGATTTTTTTAATATACTTGACATTTGCAAAGGACCAAGATTTCCTTTGTTACTTATTTTTATTGCTTTATTATTAATCTAATAATTTCTCTTGGTAACTTTACTAGGTCCTCTTTAAATTTCTTAAGCTGTATGTTATAGGTTGTGTGTTTTGAGGGTTTTTTTTTAACTTAAGACTTTCTGGTTGAGCCGTTGATTCTAGAATATTAAACTTGGTGTATTTTGGATTTCCTAGTTTAATTAAGCCAGCGTGGTCAGAAAACACTTACCAAGCCTCCCAAGAGTTGTCAGGGCTTGTTTTGCTCTCTCATGGTGTCTTAGTTAGGGTTTTATTAACTGTGAAGAGACACCATGACCATGTCAACTTTTACAAAGGAAAACATTTAATTAAGAGGTAGTGGCTTACAGTCTCAAAGGTTCAGTCCATTGTCATCACGGTGGGACATGGTGGCCTGCAGGCAGACACGGTGCTGGAGAAGGAGCTGAGAGTTGTACATCTTTATCTGCAGGCATCAGGAAGAGACTGCCACACTAG